CAAGCACGTCGAACAATCTCCACCACCTCACCTACCGCCTACCATGCCTCGCAATCGCTGTCAGCAGATGTCAGGCCCGAAGCGATCAAGAAGCCGCATCCCGCTGTTGCGTCGGGTGTGACTGGCCTCGCCCAGAAGCTGCGCGAAAAGGCACCGCTGATGACCGAGACGTACGTCGCATACGGCGCAACACGAGACCTCATCAAGGAATGCACGAAGCCGGGTGAATACAAAATACCCCAAGCGCTGCTAAAGCGGGGCGAGATACCCGTCGACGAGAACGGCGTGCACCTGGGCGAGGCCGAAGGGTGGTGGTATGACAGTAAGTAATCACTATGAGGATACCCAGGCCTTTCGCTAATACATTTTGCACAGCCCTCGGACTCAAGCCAACCTTTTCGAATTGGGCCCAAATCACATTCATCCACATGTACATGCTACAAGTCCGCTTCCGCATGTTCCCCCAATCGCACGCACCAGTATGGATCCAGCACCTCACCAACCAAGCCTTCTACGCCGCCGAGGACAGGCTGGTCATATGGCACAAGTTCAACGCCAATTCGCTGCGCCAGAAGCACCTCAAGGATATGTTCTCGCAGTGGCGGGCGGTGCTGCTGTCGTACGACGAGGGGCTGATGAAGGGCGACGCTATGCTTGCGGCGGCTATCTGGCGTAATCTGCTAGGCGCAAAGGAAGATGTCGATTTTGAGAAGCTGGCCCAGATTGTGGGGTATATGAGGAGAGAGCTCAAGAGGCTGGATAGTGCTACGGATGATCAGGTGGCGGATGGGACGTGGACGTTCCGTGGTAGTCCCGGAGATGAGGCGCCTGTTGTTAAGGCGCCGAGTAGGATGATGGCCGCTGAGACTTCGAAGGCATGAGGAACGAATGGCATAAATGGGATGTAAGAGAAGAACCATGTATCAACAATATGTATATATCTTATGAGAGATGCGATATGGAAATAAGCCTGTTTACGTTCTTTTAGGTTTCACTCATGCCCCTGCATACTCAAGCTCAACGCCTTCTGCAACTCTTCCTCGTCCTCATCCTCCCCAGCTGAGGCCCGACCTTTTCCTTTGCTTTGATGATGCGCCTCCAATAGACTTTGCTTCTTGACATACTCCATCACAATCTCTTCTTCCGTCTTTTCCTCCATCGTCTTCTCCCCTCGGTACTGCGCCTGGAACTCACCTTGTGTGGTACCTGCAAGATGACTAGAGTCATATGAAGGGAGTCGATGGGCGCCTAGCGATCCATCACTCGTCGTAGCTGCCATTTGCTCTGATGTTCCTACTCGCTCCCCATCGAGATCTTCCCATCCATTGTCTTCGTTCATCTGACGCTGTTCCAGGAGACTTTGCGCCATGGCTTGCTTCAGCTGCTTTTCGTATTCCAGGGCTTCTCTTGAGTGTTGCTGCGCTTCGACTTCGCTGGAAGCCATCGTCTGGAGTAGTTCCTCACTGGATTCCGCTTCAGTGTCTACGCGCGGCGTATCTTGTACTGGCTCATGGATGGACCCGTTAGTCTCCGCCGCTCCGAGCGGTACTTCGGGTTCGGTATCCGTAGTATACGAGTTGTACTCCGAGGTGAGTGTGGCACTTTCAAGATCTTGGATAGAAGCATCCACAGACCGGGCTGAATCGGCGGTGAACTCATCACCCGCCTTCCCCTTCCGCTGTGCATCAAGCACATCCTTCATCATCTCATCAAGTCCATCCTTCCTCTTCAAATACTTCTGAATCAACCCCCACCTCTCAACAACATCCTCCTTCTCCTCCTCCCCACTCTGCACCCACTCCTGATACCCCTGCGCCGTCCTACTCGTAACAATATACGTCTGCACACTACTCCCAAACCTCTTCTGAACCTCCTTATGCACCCCCTTCATCATATGACTCGGTATTCCAAACAGCGCCGCCCCCGGCTTAGCTATAAACCCCCCAATTCCCTTTCCTACGCCCTTGAAGAAGCCACTAGCGCCTTCTTTCTGAGCACCCTTCCAGGGCTGCGTGAAGAGGCCGGTGACGCCGTCGTACCAGCCGAAACCGAATTCGCGGCCTATGGCTACCATGCCGGATTTTAGGTCGGAGACTTTTTCCTGGGGGCGCACGGTGGTGTCGTTCCAGAGTTTGGGCGCGTTGTGGAAGCCTTTTGTTATGCCGACGGAAAGTTCCATGGGGGATTGGACGCCGGCTTTTACGATACGTCCGAAGCCTCTGCTTGTTCGTAGGCCGGTGGGGCGTAGCATGTCGTTGTCTTTGCTAGAGCTGGATGCTACGCTGGGAGTCCGAGATGCCGGGGTGGGGAGGTTGGGGGTGGTCTGAGAGCGGGCAAGCGGTTTCCGCTCCGTTGCACTGGGATGGGGTTGTTGTTGTGAGCTTGATGAAGCGGAGCTCTCTCCTACTAACGACGACTCGCTCCTCTTTGCTGCGTTCCGTACTGATGTGTCAGACTGCTGCCTACTAGGTCCAAAAGGAGCCTGTACAGCCTTCGCCGTCTCTGAAGGCATTTCAGCTATGCCCATACTCATGCTACCCAACGTCCTCAGTATTCCCATACCGAATCCAGAGATAGGCTCGAGAGGACCCTCATCAGTCTCATATTCTTGCGCCCTAAAGAGTTTGAGGTCATGGAAATCCAGAAGATTGGCGTTCGCCAAGGTACAGGCAGCGAAAGCGCTCAGTCTGATTTGAGTACGTTTAATGCGCCATATGGCTACTCGAGATGGCGCAAGGTTGCAACGGAGTCGGTCGGGATCGAGATACTGGTGGAATGACTGAGCGCCCATGTCGCTGCCTCGCTCCGTAGCAATCTTACTTGCAAGGTCTTTGGCACGCTCGAGGCTTTCGGGCTTTAAGCAGAAGTTGATGGCATCTGCTAGTTTTTCCGATGTGAGTTGTCGGTAAGGAATTGGATCGGGGCCGGCGCCAGCTCGCGCAATCATTGCGCCCCAAAAGGGTTGGTCACCGAAGAAGGGTATTACTAATGTTGGGCGTCCTAAAGTAAAGATAAAAGGTTAGCGATTGGTCGATTGATTGTTCTGTAGGCACATAACTCACCTGCTGCGATGCCTGCGGCAGTAGTACCTGCACCGCCATGATGAACGACGCATTCGACGTGCTTGAAAAGCCAGTCATGCGGCACGTTGCCTAACATGAAGACGTTCTCAGGGACGCGAAGTTCGTCCGCACCCATACCTCCCCAGCCCTTGGAGAGCAGTACACGTCCTCCACCAGCAATCCTTGTTGTGGCCTCGAAGATTAGTTCGGTCATGGCATTCGGATCGTCCAAAACGATACTTCCGAATCCAATGTACACCGGCGGTGGTCCATCGTTAAGGAACTTTTGCAGCTCAGGCGTAGGTGTGTAGTCAGAGGCCAGATTCAAGAAGTAGAAACCAGAGATGGATATATGAGAACCCCAATCTTTTGGTTTCGGAATGAGAGCTGGAGACCAGCAGTATGTGTGAGGAACTTTGAGGCGCTGGAGCATTCCTGGGGCCCAGATCATACTCAAGGGCTCTAGGCCGAGGCACTTGGCGCGAAACCGGTTGATGATGTCGCCTAAGCCTTGCCATGAGAGGGCTTCGATCATAGCGTAACTGATGTAGTTGGTGAGTTGAGTATCAGCATTAGAAGATTGAATGTTCGCCAGAGGGTGGGGAAAGGCCTGGGTGGGAGAGTATGGCATGGTGAACATGATATGAAGGGGTACTCCCAGCTTCTCAGCGCAATGAATATGCGCAAAGCTCGGTGGGTTGGCAATGATACAGTCCGCGACGAAGGGGAAAGAACCGGCGTCGTTTGCGGAGCGATCTGAACTGTGGTTGTCGGGCATCCCATCACCCGTTTCATAGCACGATCGCCAGCAGCCTTGAATGTATTCCGCCACATCTCTTCTTCGGCGACCGACATCCCCGCTGGCCAGACTACGGAAACCGGGCATCAACCCGGGATTCTTGACCATGAAAGCCATCAGCTGAGAAGGGTCGCCACCAATGCTGAAGAACTCAAGACCGTTCTCTTGCACAAACTTCTTGAAAGTAGGGTGAGTTGCCAGACGAACACGATGGCCATAGGTCTCTTTCAAGACTTTCCCGAGAGCAACAAAAGGTTGCACGTCTCCGCGCGAGCCGACCACCTGGATAACCACATTTAGGGCTGGGGGTGGAACTCCTTCTTTACCTCCTAATGAAGGTGGGATGTATGCAGGAGGAGGCGGGCTGCTGTCTTGAACACTTTGAACGTGTTCACGCAAAGCTGGTGTAAAGACTTGAGATAGCCGACGGTTGAGCTGGTTGACTCGGATGTTGACACGGCCGTCTTCGGTGACGCTTGCGCTGGTGCCTAGGCCATCTTTTTCGTTGCGGATCTCGCCATAGATGTCGCCATATGGAGGAGGCGGAAGTTCTTCGTCGGTCGCATCGGGACTGACGAGGTCAGTCGTTTGCAAAGGAGCGTCATGTGTCGTTGATCCTCCGGTTCCAGTCTGGATGGCAGAAGCAGCAGCTTGTGCTTGTTGAAGCATTGTATGCTGCGCGTTGGTCTCCGATATAGAGGCTTCATCTTCTAGGTGAGTTTGTGTGGTCATGGTGTCAAGGAGAGAATATAGAGTGCACAAATCTGGCCATTCAAAGCAGGAGCGACACCAGTAAGTACTCCATCATCGAAGAGCGGCTTACGCCCTGGTGGAGGCATCGCATGAGTGCATTCGTGTATACCAGTCCTCAACGATACTAAAGTCATCTTAGTGGTAAGCGTTGCGCGTGCGAAGGATGCGTATGCGTTCGCGAGAGGCTGAGGCAGGACCAATTAGGCAGACCTTGCGAGCTGAACACAGGAAGCTGGACCCCGTAATTACGTCATCATCAACAGCCTCAATGGGCACGTACGCATCACCCAACTGCGCAACTCATGCCATGATTGAATATTCATTAGGAGAATCATGTGAGTTCCAGATCTCCGGCTTGAGTGTACACCAAATATTGGTATCCAACATCAAAACAAACGTTGCACGATACCGAAAAACAAGCTTGTCATGGCCAATGTGCATAGCGCGTCCCAAACACCATGAACGCTCGCAATCGCACCACCAGTGAAATCCGCTAGTACACCTGTGGTGGTGCTCGTCGGCTTACCGAGCCCGCCGCTACCGCTGTTGATAGAGTTGCCGTCGTTGCCATCCGCGGTAACAGACGCGGTGATGGACATCGATCCCTCGACTACAACCACGGGTGTTTCTCCAGGAGTGAGTGAAACCTCGATGCCATTGATAGTAGTCATGGCGCCAGGCATCAGGGTTTGACTGTTCGGCAGCAATAATCCTCCCCCATCGGTTGCGGGGATGAAAGAGACCCCGGAAGGAAGAGAACCAGGCGCAATCGTTGTGCCCCCAAGGACGACGCTGCTTGCTGCTGCATCGATTGCTATTGTTGTGGTACCGGCAATCAAAGCGGAAGAGTCGCGTGAGATGGTCATGGTACCGATGATGGTCACCTCGCCTGGCTCCAGTCCCGAGGCAAGCTCGCTGACATTGACGGTCGTTCCATCTATGATTACTGTAGATGGACCTGGTGTCTGAGTAGCTTCCAGTAGCGGAACGGTTTGGGTACCGCCGATGATAAGAAAAGAAGCTGAAGTGTCTCGAGAAATCGCAACGTCGTTGATGGAAGTCACTTCTCCTGGGTCAAGTTGTGTGGCGACTTGACCAATGTCAACTGTCGTCCCACCAACTACCGCAGGATCTGATTGAGTTACAAAACTCGGTGGAGGGAGCGCAAAAGTCGTAGTGCCGCCTATGACAACGAACGAAGCGGAAGTATCGAATGAGATTGCAACGTCGTTGATGGTGGTTTGTTGTCCAGCAGTGATCATGCTCGTAGCACTGCCAACTATGATAGCCGAGCGCGATGGATCAATTATAATAGGGCCAACACCAGGTAAGACTGTAGTCTGTGTTTCGTCTGGACGAGAAATTACCGTGGAAGCCGGAGGGTTGCTGGGCAACGAAGGAAGTACAACCAGAGGTGGCACAGGACTTGTTGCTGTCGGACGGCCTGGAAGAGTATTTTGAGGCAATGCAGGAATAGTTGGTTGGTCAGTCGTACTAGTCTGGAGATTTTCTGGGGTTGTAGTTCTGATGATTGAGGGCCGGGGAGCCAATACTACTGTAGACGTACTTCGATCTGGTCAGCTGGTAGTGTTACTAACATAAACTTGCTGCTTACCTGGATTCTGAAATGGTAGGCTCCAAGATGGCTGGATCAAGTTGACCATAATCGAACAGTGTTGAAGCAGTTATAACGGTCTCGGTGAATGGAGGTGCAGCACTCGATTGCGGTGCTCCCGGCAGCACTATCGTCACGACGCTGGTGAATATTGCCGTCTGGGTAATATTTGGGCAGTCAGTCCGTGGCTCTGTTCGAGTTGTCATCATCGCGATAGAGCTATTCAGATAACGATTTGTCCTGCGAAAGATAAGCACGCTGCTAGTCCAAGCATGGTGAACCTACATGAAAGTCGTCGCAGCGGCCTTCGCCGCCCTTTTCTCAAGGGCTGAATCAGATGTAAGTCTCGTTCCCTCGTCGGATGTAATTGGCACTGCCTGGTCGGATGTAACTCCCACTACCTCGGTTCTGGTCGATGTTGTGCCGTTTTTGAAAGGGGTAATGTGGACGATTATGGAAGCGGTTACAGTAACTACGTTTGGGGGAGGGGGAGGGGTAGCAAATTCGGTCGGGGTTGAGGTGACAGTCGACACGTAGGTGAGACTAGTAATAAACGCGGGACATTCCGACGTTGGTGTCAAAGAACGAGCGAAGTTTACCGCGACGCCAGGACCTGTATCTCATAAGTCTATATCATGTGTTTCTAGCCAGAAAGCTACCTGAAAATAGCAAAACAGCAAGTGCAACCACTCTCATCCGGCAAAGTAACTCCGTGCTGGCGATGGACCACCACATGTTGAAAAATACGAGATCTTGGGGATTGTCGATGTATGTATCAACCTACAAGCAACGCCTTAGACAAAACGAGGACGAGTGGTCGAAGGGAGCCGGCTAGATACGATATCTTCTATGGCGTGAGCTGACCGGTGGGCGACCAGCCAACATTTTTCAGCCTTGCGACTGGCCCCCAACCATGGTCTGGGCACGACCGTCGTGGTTGGCTAGAGTGTACTCCAATGCCTTGATCCGGCGAAATACGATAAACTTTGATTTTCTCTGCAGGATACATGGTGTAAGGCTTTATATAGCCCACCAACCATATCATCGAATGTCTGGTTGTGGAGAAGGGCGAGACCAGCCGCAGAACTCCGGTAGTAATCAAGTATAGGCGCATCGACGCATGCGGAGAATTGCAGTTCTGTTGTTATCCTAAATCGCCGCCACCTGCAAAATACCATTATCCTTTACAGCCTGGGGACTTTAAAAAGATGGCGGAAGCACTATCGCTCGCTGCGTCGGGGAGCTGGTTTGGTAACGACGGAAGCTGGTCAACGTACGTCTTGCGCATTTTGTTTTATATGTATCCAGGCATGAGCTGACAATAATAGGTTCCTGGTTCAAGTAGGGACGCCACCGCAAACATTCAATGTGCTACCGGCGACTCAGGCTCAGAACATCTGGCTTCCGATTGCCGATGAGTGTGTCAGACTGCAAGGCGGGTCAGCCTCTTGCGGCAGCTCTCGCGGTGCAGCTCCGTTCCAACAAAGTCCAAGTCCTGGGTTCCAAGCGAACATGTCGTCAACCTGGGAAGCCATCGGTCTTTATGAACTCGGAATGGGAAGGATCCACGGGATCACCGGGAACGGCCTCCATGGGTTTGATAGTGTTGCGCTGTATAACTTCACATTGGAACATCTGGCAGTCACCGCGTATGCCTCGCCCGGCTTCTGGATCGGACAGATGGGACTGTCGCCGCTGCCACTAAACTTCTCAGAGACAATCAGCTCGCCATCTTTGATCTCAGCTCTCAAGGATGATGGTCATATACCCAGTCTGACGTATGGATATCAGGCTGGCGCCCCGTATCGCAAAACAAAGATAGCCGCCAGCCTCGTTCTTGGAGGCTACGATCTTGCACGTGCATCAGAGCCCTTGACAATTGACATCAACACCGACATGTCCAGAGCTCTTACAGTCGGTCTCCAGGATATCATAGTAACCGACTCATTGAACGGAACACTTTCGCTGGTTGACAATGAACGAATCCTTGCTCCGATCGATTCGTCCATCCCAGAGATATGGCTCCCGAAGTCTGTCTGCGATCGCTTTGAGTCCGTATTCGGTTTGGAGTATCATGAGAGGTCGGGCAGATACGTCCTCAGGGATTCGGCCAGGGATCGACTTCGGGGACTTAATCCCACCTTGACGTTCACTATTGGTACCAACGCCGTGACAGGTGGCAACACTTCTTTGATCCAAATCCCATATGCGGCTTTCGATCTGCAGGCAGGGTATCCAATCTTTGCGAATGCGACAAACTATTTTCCGATTCGAAGAGCTGATAATGAGAGCCAGTACGCCATTGGTAGGGCGTTCCTACAAGAGGCTTACATCGGCGTTGACTTCGAGAATGGCATATTCAACGTCAGCGCGGCGAAATGGGACGATCTGGAAGCTGATATTGTGACTATACCAGCTGCTGACCGTGACTCCGAGGTAGCCCGCGGGCAGGGCATCTCTGGTGGTGCGATAGCTGGGATTGTCGTGGGCTGCGTAGCAGCGATCGTACTCTGTATCCTGTGCGCATGGTTCTTTTTATGGAAACCTAGGCGAATGCGGAAGCAAAGCACAGTGCTGGTAGAAGAGAAGGGAGCTCACGACGCGCTAGATCCAGCTCCGGAGCTGACAGGTGTGACCTTTCACGAGCTGCCAGCCAAACACGGCGATAGCGAACTAGAGGATATCGTGACAGTACCGGAGCTGGGTAGGGAGGATCGTGTTCATGAGTTGCACCAAGATTGCGTTCGATGAAGGAGGGCTGGTGCCGGATGACGCCTGCCGAACGAGAGACGCGCCGATGACTAAGCACGCTAGCGTGATAGCTTCCAAAGGCTGTCGCGCTTATGTTCAGCTGCGCCAGGTTTACACCACCTTCTTTCAACATATCATTTCTCGGAGATCTTTGAAGCAAACAGTTGCCTTTCCTTCTGCCTATGGAACCTGAGCAAGCGGCACAGTTCTCCACCTCGTACTGCATCATATCATCTGCTTTTGCACTGTGCTGCACCGGAGAATGGACTATATACCTTCTTTTCTCAACGTCTTTTACATACAGCAATCAGTTGACCTATTGAAGCAATAATTACCGTGCGTTCAATCCATACCACCTCAATATTCGCCCAATTCAAATTGCTCAATGATCGAACAAGATGACCTCCACTAAGGACCGGCTAGACAGTGTGAAATAACAGGAAGCGGTAGGTGAATACTATGTGGCGGATCGCGACTCATGTTATTTCGTTCACAATACGACCTTCCCGGCGGCATGTGAACAGAATCATTATTCTCCTCCTGATCAGCGCAGCCCGTCATACAGTCCCAACGCACAACAATGACGACCGACCCACACGCTCTCACGCTGTCCACCGCTCTCGAGCCTCGGCAATCACCCTCTGAAGAGAAGTGTGCTATCTGCCAGGAATCATTAGAGGACGCACCTCCTGTCTATGATCCAGCAGATAGACATACATCCGACACAGATTGCCAGGCTGACATGGAAGCAGTCGTTACGAAGGTCTGCGGCGACAAACACTTCTTCCACCGAACTTGCATCGAATCGTGGTGGAAATCCGGTAACCCTCGTCTAAACTCTTGCCCTATCGATCGTACACTCTGCTACGGCGACGTACGTGTACCCCAAGAGCCTGTCAACCTTCCTACGTATACTACATTCCCAGGTCATGACCCGCATACACACGGTACCGTTCGCCTAGGACCTCTTTCAGCTGATGACATAGATTTCATTACCAGCGCACGAAACCAGGCATTCATCTCAATGCTCACTCCGCATCAGGTCATTACAATCGGTCCACTCGTGGGCAATCTGCTTGAAAGTGCGATCGAGACTGTGCAGAGACGTACATCGGAGCTTGCTAATGAAGTTACGATCGACTGTTACCTGGATGCTCGCGATCTTGCGGAAGGGCTGGCCGCAGGTTACATCACCCGCGAAGATATAGATTTGGCCAACAGCATCGCCGAGAATATAATGATCACGGCTGTGAACCGTAGCATTGTGTCGGTTGGAGCGAGGGAAGGTGTGCAGGCTCCTTTCACAGCCGGCCCTCATGTTTCTCGCGACATTTTTGGGCAAAGAGTAAGAACTGGAGCCGACGAAGCCGATTTTAATCACTCCCAACCTTATCAACCCGGCCACAACGGTTCTATGGTTTACAGGACTGTACGCCTCCAGCTACAAATGGAAGGGCCACAGCATTACCTTGATAGTATGGCTCATATGGTTGGCTTCTTCGACGATGACGAAGATGATTCTGGTGGTGGTGACATGGGTTAGGATTTTGTTGACGAGGCTGGTGATACCATCAATGCCAGCTTCTTCGAACCTCACCATTGAGATCATTGTAGATTGGCAATGGCAAAAAGAGTGTTCATGCGATATACGTGGATGAGCTAGGTGAAGCTGAGTCAAACTGTGAAATCGTCTTCAAGACACCCCGACGTCTACGTCGCTTTCTACAAGCGTGCGCCTTGCCACAAATACTAGCCACCGTACCCCTGAAATTTTCCGGATTTATCCATCGGCTTTTAAACCAGGTAGAAAGGGAGGTTAATAGCAAGAAGGCAAGCCGGTGGGGAACACACAGTTCACACACGGCTCGACTCGAGCTGACAACCCCACCCCGCCACCTCATCCGGTAAAGCGCCAGATCCCGCTCAAGATGGCTGGCTAGCCTCCCAAATAATCTCAGCACGTCACGAGCACGAAAGCGACGAAAGCACGGTGTTCTAAGCCCGCAAGTGAAATCGCAAAGATCTCCGACTATTTCCATCTCTTGCAGCTCCGATGGCCATGGCCCCTTGGATATGTCTCCACTGAAGCGTCCGAGTGAGGATGCGGAGCATGAGGATGGGCGCCGACCTGCACCACGAACGCCGAGGATTAGAGCTTGTAAGTTCATGGACCGCGCCCCACTTCATCATTGCTTCTCTCTTTTTTCTTACAATGTGTTATTGTAGGTGCGGAGTGTAAAAGACACAAGATCAAATGTGAGCCCGTCGACAATGAAGCAAAATGCGCGAAGTGTTTGCGCAGCGGAACGGAATGCGTTCCTTATAATTTGAATCAACGGCTTTTGGATGAAGATGCGGCGTAGGTCCATATTACATATGCTCTCTTCACCATTGCTAAGTACTTCAGTTGGAAATCAAATGCGACAGCCGAGTTGTCGCAGCTGCGCTCTGCGGTGCAGCGTCTGCTGCAGCACAACAAACTGCCCGGCTTGGATAGTCCAGTTAGTCAAGATACACCGCCGCATTCAGCAGGTCGCACCATGACCATCAGCCCGACAAACGTCATGTCTGAGAGTGGACATGCGACGTTTGTTGTTCCGCCGCCCATGGATATGACGAGAGATACCTCTGTTGAACGCGAGTCCGGAGAAGAGTCTGGCCTGGTGACAGCGCCCATGAAGAGTTTGTACGACCTTACCCGGATCCGGAACCTTCGGAGTAGCGTGCGATGGAAGCCCAATTCCAACTCTGTGGACGAGGACTTCATAGCTCAAGGCATTGTGTCGTTACCGGAAGCTGAGGATCTGTTCAGACGGTATATGCAGGACATTCGGCTTTATCTCTGGGCTGGTGTACTTTTCCCGTATGACTCTCTGGATGCAGTCCGTCGCCAGTCCACTCTTCTCACTGCTGCTGTGCTCACAATCTCCGCACTACACACGCCTGGTCGAGACGAGGCATTGCAGAAATGCTACAACATCTTCGTTTCATTAGTCTACAGTGCCTTTCTCGCTCGGCCTCATAATCTGGATGATATCCGCGCGCTGGCTCTTGCCGCTTTCTATCTCTCGAATTTGAGCTGGAAATTGGCCGGCCTGGCTGTGAGGAACGCCGTGGAGATGAATCTGCATATGTCCTACCAGAAGCTGATGCGAGGGCATGAGGACCAACGCGACAACGTGCGTCTATGGTACGCGTTATACGTCTGCGACAAGCAGTTCAGCATCGCATATGGACGACCATCTATCGTCCACGAAGACATCGCCATCAAGAACATTGAGAATTTCCTCGACAGTCCCAAAACGACCCCAGGAGATATCAGACTGGGGGCGCAAGTAACTTTGTTCAAGATCCTGACAGAAGCATACATTGCCTACGGCAGCGATCCAGAGCAACCACTCACGGAACCCGACTTCCAACAACTCCGCCTCTTCAACTTCGCCATTGAGCAATGGCGGCTCGCGTGGCAAGCCCGATCCGCTGACAGTCCATCCATCGGATCCTACCCGTCGAAAGGCGTAGTACTATACTACCACTTCGCCAGATTCCAACTGAATTCCCTCGCGCTGCGTGCTCTCCCTCCGCCCAGCGCAGCCACATCCGAATCCCTCTCCTACGACCGCCGCGAAGCAGCCAACATCGCCATCACGGCCGCAACCAGCACCCTCACTCTAATCTTCGAGGAGCCTGATCTGCGCAAGGCCATGACAGCAGTACCCATCTTCACGCACACCATGGTCGCTTTCTGCGCTACTTTCCTGTTGAAAATGGCAAAGACTTGGGGCGGCATGGCACAAGTGCAATCGCCAGAGTGGGCAACCGAACCCGTTGGCCTAGGTCTCAACTTCAACATCAACCAAGTCTTATCCTTATCGCGGCGCTCATCTTCTTTCCTAGCGAAAGTAGCGGAGAATCTGAATGAGAAACATATCACGACGCATATCGTGCAGGGAATCAATGATCTGTTGAAACGGCTGGATGTTGCGGGTACGCCGTCGGGGTCTGTGACCCAGGGAGGCTTTCCGGCTGCTTCGCCTGCTGCCACGACTGTGTTTGATCCTGTCAAAGCGGCTACGGCGCGCAATGATGAGGGTGTGGATGTGACAGCGGGGAATGAGTATAATATGTATGATTTGATTGGTTCTTATGGGTTTGGGTTTGACGAGACGTTTTTGGGGCAGGTTGCGCCTACGAACTTGGATTTTTGGCAGACGGAGCCTTTTTGATGGGGCTGTATGTATTCGTAATTCGGGAGGGAAGTCACCCCGCCTTGGTTTCCAACACACTTGAGGGTCTTGGGATCCTTGTGACAATAGGCTCCACACCTACCTTTACATCATATCACTCTTGAAGTTGTAGCCCAGCCATATTTGGCGCACCTGATTACTCCTACATCATACCATCATCCAGCCGACACCTCGCGTCCAGCGTTGTTATTCGAGCGTGGTGAAAGACGGTGGTATCGGGTGGTGTAGGTGAGCGCGCGGAGCTTGCTGGGAGGCCGGGCGAAGGCACTGGTGATGTTTGGCGGAACGAGCTGCAGTTTGCTACGTCGATGGGATAGGCAGCAGCAGCGATTGCTGTGGCGGAGCGAGGATGTAGGCAGCTATACAAGTTTAGCAATGCGCAAGGCTGGACAAGGCTGCTCAGGTGCTTGAGACTGTCCAGGCGAGGCTGATGCTCTGAGCTTCCGCGCGCGCTCGTGAGGGGAAGCTGCGACGGCCGCCGGAGAAGCTCGTGCTCTCCATTGAGACGGTGACAATTATAGAAGCGAGGATTCTAGAAGTAAACTATGCGGTGTCGCCGGCGAGACAAGCAACGAGTGAGTGCATCGCCAACGTCGCGATTGTTCTGCCCCTCGCTACTAGGCGTTGCTGGGGAAGGCGCGTTTGGCGGTGAGGCGCAATTGGAAGGCATGCCCCACCGTGATTGGCTTAGCCGCGGCCTTCTCTGCGTTTCTGCCGCTCTGTCTAGAAGATTCTCGAGCTCCACCAAAGACTATATCAGCCCCAAACTCGACTCCTCCCACTACTTTTTCTTCATCGAATTGCTCTCTCCCACTGCACCTACACAGACATCGACGTCGCTCTGCTTGCTCTTACCCACGCGCATTAGAAGAGCTCAGCAACCGAACTACCCCGCCTAACTGTACGTCTTCCCCACACTCGCCTGCTCGCCTGTCACTTCAGCCTAGTACCATTGAACCCAGGCTGACTCTTCTCCCGCAGCTCAACACCCACACAACCGCCACCATGTCTGGGGAGACCTTCGAGTTCCAGGCTGAGATCTCTCAGCTGCTCGGCCTCATCATCAACACCGTCTACTCAAACAAGGAGATCTTCCTGCGAGAACTCATCTCCAACGCCTCCGACGCCCTCGACAAGATCCGATATGAAGCCCTCTCAGACCCAAGCAAGCTCGACAGCGGCAAGGATCTCCGCATCGACATCATCCCCAACAAGGAGGCCAAGACCCTCACCATCCAAGATAGCGGTATCGGTATGACCAAGGCCGACCTCATCAACAACCTGGGTACGATCGCCCGCTCCGGCACAAAGCAGTTCATGGAGGCGCTGTCAGCCGGTGCCGACATCTCCATGATTGGTCAATTCGGTGTTGGTTTCTACTCCGCATACCTCGTTGCCGACCGCGTCACCGTCGTCTCCAAGAACAACGATGACGAGCAGTACGTCTGGGAGTCCAGCGCCGGTGGCACCTTCAAGATCACCGAGGACACCGAGGGCGAGCAGATCGGCCGCGGCACCAAGATCATCCTCCACCTCAAGGATGAGCAGATGGACTACCTCAACGAGTCCAAGATCAAGGAGGTCGTCAAGAAGCACTCCGAGTTCATCTCATACCCCATCTACCTTCACGTCCTGAAGGAGACCGAGAAGGAGGTCGAGGATGAGGACGCCGCCGAGGAGACCACCGAGGGCGACGACAACAAGCCCAAGGTCGAGGAGGTCGACGACGACGAGGAGAAGAAGGAGAAGAAGACCAAGAAGGTCAAGGAGTCCAAGATCGAGGAGGAGGAGCTCAACAAGCAGAAGCCCATCTGGACTCGCAACCCTCAGGACATCACCACCGAGGAGTACGCCTCATTCTACAAGTCCCTCTCCAACGACTGGGAGGACCACCTTGCCGTCAAGCACTTCTCCGTTGAGGGTCAGCTCGAGTTCCGCGCCATCCTCTTCGTTCCCAAGCGCGCTCCCTTCGACCTGTTCGAGACCAAGAAGACCAAGAACAACATCAAGCTCTACGTCCGCCGTGTCTTCATCACTGACGACGCCACCGACCTGATCCCCGAGTGGCTCAGCTTCGTCAAGGGTGTCGTCGACTCTGAGGACCTTCCCCTCAACCTGTCTCGTGAGACCCTTCAGCAGAACAAGATCATGAAGGTCATCCGCAAGAACATTGTCAAGAAGACCCTCGAGCTCTTCAACGAGATCGCCGAGGACCGTGAGCAGTTCGACAAGTTCTACTCTGCCTTTGGCAAGAACATCAAGCTCGGTATCCACGAGGACTCGCAGAACCGCGCTT